GTATGTAAGTCAGTAGTGTTCGTTGTCTTCACTTACCTCTTAGAGAAGAATTAGCAAACAATTGATCAAGACTTAGAAGACTTTTCAACTGTGAATCAAGATTAGAAAATGTGCAACAGTCTTTATTCAATGGATCAAACAAATGTCGATATCTCTCCAGGTAAACTTGGATCAAAGTTTAATTGTAAAAATATTTGTTTAATTGATTCATGTACGACACATACAATATTCAAAGAGAAGAAATATTTCTCTCATTTAAGTATGTGTAGGGCAGATGTTACTACAATTTCTGGTAGTAGTAATTTAAATGAAGGCTCTGGAAGAGCTCTTATAACTCTGCCTAAGGGAACAATACTTATCATAGAGAATGCAATGTTCTCCTCCAAGTCCAAGAGGAACTTGTTGAGTTTTAAAGATATCCGTCGAAATGGATATCATATTGAGACAATAGATGAGAATAATCTTGAATATCTCATCATTACCAAAAATGTCTCTGGCCAGAAAAGGGCTATTGAGAAGTTCCCATCTTTGTCTTGTGGCCTGTATTGGACAAGAATTAGTGCAATTGAGGCACATTCTATTGTAAACCAAAAGGTTACCGATTCCAATACTTTTGTACTTTGGCATGATCGATTGGGACACCCTGGATCAATTATGATGAGACGAATTATAGAAAACTCAAATGGGCATCCATTGAAGAATTTAAAGATTCTTTTAAATGATGAATTTTCTTGCACTTCTTGTTATCAAGGCAAGTTAATTATTAGACCATCACCAACAAAGGTTGGAATTGAGTCCCCTGCGTTTTTGGAACGTATACAAGGGGACATTTGTGGACCTATTCACCCACTAGTGGGTCGTTTAGATATTTTATGGTCTTAATAGACGTATCTTCTAGATGGTCCCATGTGTGCCTATTGTCATCTCGCAACCTCGCGTTTGCAAAATTAATGGCACAAATAATTCGATTACGGGCACAATTTCCCGATAATCCAATTAAGTCTATTAGACTTGATAATGCTGTTGAGTCTTCATCCTAAGCATTTAATGATTATTGCTTATCAATTGGGATAAAAGTGGAACATCCTGTAGCTCATGTTCACACTCAAAATAGCCTTGCGGAGTCTTTAATTAAACGTCTGCAATTGATAGCAAGACCGTTACTCATGAAAATGAGGTTACCCACTTCTATTTGGGGTCACGCCATTTTGCATGCAGCAATGCTAGTTCGTCTCAGGCCGACAAATTATCATAAATATTCCCCGTTGCAATTAGTTTTGGGTCATGAACCTAATATATCCCATTTAAGAATTTTTGGATGCGCGATATATGTGCCTGTAGCACCACCACATCGCACCAAAATGGGTCCACAAAGAAGGTTAGGAATATATGTTGGTTTTGAATCGCCCTCCATTATTCGCTACCTCGAAACATTGACGGGGGATTTATTTACTGCATGATTTGCAGACTGTCGATTCGATGAGACACTTTTCCCAAAATTAGGGGGAGAAGTTGGTGAAACCAAACGGGAAATTTTGTGGAAAAATCCATCATTATCTCATCTTGATCCACGTGCCTTTATTTGTGAAAAAGAGGTGCAAAAGATTATTCATTTGCAGAGAATAGCAAATCAAATGCCAGATGCATTTACGGATATGAAAAGGATAACAAAATCACATATCCCTGCGGAGAATGTTCCAATCCGTATTGATGTCCCTATTGGACAATCTTCTAGTGTCATAGCTAATGAGTCAAAAGCACGCCTTAAACGTGGCAGACCATTAGGTTCCAAAGATCGAAATCCTAGAAAAAGGAAAACAAATGATCAAAATGACACTACGAAAGAATCTCATGAAGAAATCCACGATTTAATAAATTCTGAGATTCATGAGGAATCCACTGAGCCCGAGACTCAAGAAAATAAGGAACTATCAATAAATCCAATCGATATTGAGACAAATTTGAATCGAGTGGATATAGTGGTGGATTATGTCTTTGCATATAATGTTGCATCTAGCATTATGCAAGAAAGTGAGGATCTTGAACCTCAGTCTGTTGGAGAATGTCGACAAATACTTGATTGGCCAAAATGGCAAGAAGCAATCCAATTAGAGTTGAATTCACTTGCGAAACGTGAAGTTTTTGGGCCTGTAGTCCAAACACCTAATGGTGTTAAGCCTGTTGGCTATAAATGGGTCTTTGTACGCAAGAGAAATGAGAAAAACGAGGTACAAAGATATAAGGCACGCCTTGTTGCACAAGGATTTTCACAAAGGCCTGGTGTCGATTATGAAGAGACATATTCACCCGTTATGGATGCTATAACGTTCCGTTATCTCATTAGTTTTGCTGTCCATGAAAAGCTTGACATGCATTTAATGGATGTGGTTACCGCCTACCTTTATGGCTCACTTGATAATGAGATATACATGAAAATTTCCGATGGATTTAAAATGCCAAACGCACATAATTCAAAGTCCCGGGAAATGTTTTCAATCAAATTGCAAAGATCTTTGTATGGTCTAAAGCAATCAGGACGAATGTGGTATAATCGTCTTAGTGAGTATTTATTAAAGGAAGGCTATATAAATGATGCCATTTGCCCATGTGTTTTTATAAAGAAAACAACATCGGAATTTGTTGTACTTGCCGTATATGTTGATGACATAAACCTTATTGGAACTCCTATAGAACTCCAAAAGGCAATTGATTATTTAAAGAAGGAATTCGAGGTGAAAGATCTCGGAAAGACAAAATTATGTCTTGGTTTGCAAATTGAACATTTGGCAAACGGAAATTTCGTTCATCAATCTACCTACATAGAAAAGGTATTGAAACGGTTTTACATGGATGGAGCACATCCATTAAGTACTCCGATGGTTGTTCGATCACTTGATGTGAATAAGGATCCATTCCGACCTCAAGAAAAGAATGAAGAGCTACTTGGTCCTGAAGTACCATATCTTAGTGCAATTGGTGCACTAATGTATCTTGCCAATACTACAAGGCCTGACATAACTTTTTCAGTTAATGTCTTAGCAAGATATAGCTCTGCTCCCACAAGGAGACATTGGAATGGAATCAAACACATATTGCGGTATCTAAAAGGGACTACCGATATGGGCTTATTTTATGGCAACAATTGCAGTCCCGATCTTGTTGGTTATGCTGATGCTGGGTATTTATCTGACCCACACAAGGCTCGGTCTCAAACAGGTTATGTATTTACCTGTGGAGGCACTGCCATATCTTGGCGATCGACTAAGTAATCAATTGTGGCTACTTCATCTAATCATGCTGAGATAATTGCTATTCATGAAGCAAGTCGAGAGTGTGTGTGATTGAGGTCTATAATACATCTTATTCGAGACAAATGTGGTGTGAAATGTGACAAGTTACCCACAATTTTGTATGAAGATAATGCAGCATGCATAGCTCAATTGAAGGGAGGATTCATAAAAGGAGATAGGACAAAGCACATTTCACCAAAGTTATTTTTCACACATGATCTTCAAAAGAATGGTGATATTAATGTGCAACAGATTCGTTCAAGTGATAATATGGCTGATTTGTTCACAAAATCTCTACCAACGTCAACCTTCAAGAAGTTAGTTTACAAAATCGGGATGCGAATGCTCACCTTAGTTCCAACCATCTGGTTTGCTGTTGCATCCTTCCAATAGCTTTGCTTTCCATGCTCCTAGAAAATTAAAAATCGACACTACAAAAATAATACAATTAAAAAGATTAATAATAAAAAAAAAAGTAGTAAAGTTGGGTTGCCTCCTAACAAGCGCTTGATTTAACATCGCGGCACGACGCGAATCACTTTCTGCCTCCACTTTGAGCATGTGAATTGGACCCCAAGTTTTGATTCTGCTCTATGATCATACTCCTGGGGTGGTGGGACGAATAAAATAATGTAGTATTCTGCACTTCTTGGCCTTTAGATNGCTCAAGGATGTGAATTGATGCTCTCATCAGGGGGAGTTAATGCGCGTTGCACTCTTTTTCTCTTACAAGGTTTTGTCCCACTGGGTTTTCCTTGCAAGGTTTTTAACGAGGCAACCAATAGGCGCATTTCTAAACATGTGTACTCTTTTTCCTTTTCTAGAATTTTTTCCCATTGGGTTTTCTTTTAGTTAAGGTTTTAACGAGGCACATTATCTGTTGAATAGACATTCAGGGGGAGTGTTATAAATAGAATTCTATTTATGGTGAATGTCCATATTTGGAGAGATTCTAGGGTTTATTACTTGGTGGCTAAGTCAACCTCTCCCTATAAATAGAGGGTTCTATTCCATTGTAATTCATCCCAAATCAATAAGAATTCTCTCTCTACTTATCTCTGCAATATTGCTCTTCTACTTTTATTGTTTTATAACACAGGGAACATTTTCGCTCATTTAAGGTTGTAGATTTCCTTCATTCTTAAAAGTTGTAAGGGTCACCTAAGTACGACGGTTAGATTATCTTTACTTTATCTATATCTATTTACTAGTATACGTACCCGCGCGATGCGCGGATCATTGCAAATAAGAATAGTGCGGTGAGAGATAATAAAAACCGACATATATATATCGACCGCATTCAAAAGAATTAAATAAAAAAATAAATAGATGAACTTTCATTTTATATACTCATGTAAATGTCAAGTATAAAACTTGTCTCAAATTTAAAAGAAATTCAATATAAATAATATATATATAAAAAAAAAAAAAAGATCATTCCTATGTTCCCCATAAAGGGTCTCAATCCAAAAGCAGCTCAACCTTACTAAGGCCGTAAAAGGGTAAAAATAGGTTGTTAAGCACGATAGGTACATGACTTAGAATGGGCAATAACAAAATTTCAGTTAAATCTAATTTTAGTTCCAGTCCCAAACGAAGCTTCATCAAGGCGCCCAACTCGAACAAAATTCTATTTTAAGTATCTCCAACAAAAACCACATAGTTTCTTTAATCTTGATCATTTTTCATCCTTCAAAGTAGTCCAGCATGTAGCAAATAAAAAATTTGCAATGACAAATATAATGACCGAAAAATAGCTTGAAAAAGTCATCCTTGAAAGTATGCTTGAGATCCAAAATAGGGTATTCCCATTTTCTTAAGAAATCAAGTAATAATCAACCAAAAAAAATTGCATAATTTCTCGATTTTCTTGTGGACAAATCATCGACCAAGTATTGAGAGAATCAATAAAACCGTAGCTCAACTTCATCATCCTTTTATTGCACTCGAGCTTATCATGCTAGTCTCACCCAATGACAATCTCTCAACAGAATAGCATCAAATACTTCTAATACCAATGAGAAATAGTCAGTAGATAAAATATGTATAAAATAATGTATAACCTACAAAAAAAAAAAGGTGTAACTACTAAAAAAATACTCCTAACTACTTTTTTATAGAATAAGCTTTACCCCTACCGACTATTTTTCATCATCCTCGATAGAAGCACTTCTCTAAAATATGAAAATTTTAAGCCACTAAAACTAAAGTATAAATAAAAAGTTTTTTGCCTCATTCGTCATATTTTTCAAAATTATTCAAAGCTTCAAAGTACTGCACTTACTATGACAATTGAGCACTATTGAAGTTTAATGACTTTGCATAAAAGGATCCAAGAACATACAATGACTTACCACACATCATTCCATTGGCCCCTTTTCTTTCACCTGAAAGCACACGCCTTAGTATCTCAAGATTGTACATTGGCTCTCTCTTGCAGGTTCTATAAAGTGCAGCGAGGTATACAAAATCAACTGCAATGATACAAAAATATTAGTTATTACATTCTATGATGAGAAACCTAATAATTCTTCTTATTTTCTTCTTTTGGAGTCAAAAGGCAACAACAACTGAGATGTACTTGAGAATGTTCATATTTTTAAATTTGTTCTGCATCATGCTACGTAAGTAATGAATGAAAAAGAAGCAAACTTTAGCAACCACAATCTCTAAATATTGATGAAAATAAAATTTTCAGAATAAATAAAATAGAGAATATATAAATTGATCTCAGTTTAATTATAGAACAATAACAACAACCCAATGTAGAACATACTTTGAATTAAATTTGTCCAAAGGGGCCAAAAATCGTTGTGCTAGAAGAAGAGAAAAATGATTCTTACATGGGTTAGAGGAGAATTTTTTAATCTTTTTAGGTGTAACATCAAGGACTGCTCCAGATCCTGTCAATTCACATTGCATGATTGATAAAGCCAAGTGCAAGCTTATATACACAATACAACAGGGGAAAAAAGAAAATCTTACCAAAGGACTCATTTAATGTAAACCTTCAGAATGAACAACTACTAATCTCTTCATGCCATGACTTTGTAGCTCTTTTGCCATCTTGCTTACCATATCTTGTTTGTATACTCCAACAACAGCAAAAGCTATTCAAGTGGGTTTTTTTTCACTCATTAGACACACAGAGAGTGCATTGTGCAGTAAAAATTACAGTAATTGCTAATATTGATGGCAGGAATCGGCGGGAATTAATAAATAGCCTTTTCAGCAGGAACCAGTATTCCCAACTGAACTACAAAACCAAATTAGAGATCTTCATTATCAAACCAAGAAAGTTATAATAGTCACTATTTTACATGAACAATTAGTACAATTCTTTAAACGTGAATCCTACAAGCAAACTCTAAGGAAGATATAATTACAGTGAGATGCTATAGCCCATAGCTATTAGCCTATTTACATGTATTAGAAAAATGGGTGGCTAGTAAAAATTTGAAAAGGCCAAATATCGATAAGGCTAATAGCTTATTGATAATAGAACTATTGACTTCATAGCCCAACACGCCAGGGTAAAATTCAATGCTTTCAATGAAGTTTGAGGCCGATACATTTGCTGGGTGACAATGTAAAAAAATCAGCAACTGAGACCCAGGAGAAAAAAAAAACTCAGATGATAAAATTCTTGATGTTCATCACATTTACACTTTTAAGTGCAAAGACTGAAACTTTGAGAACCAAAACAAAATCAAAAAAGGAAAAGAAAATGAACCCAGATGATAAAATTTTCTAATCTTCATAAAAATTTCAGATTTAAGTGCAAAAGTTGATATTTGGAGAGGAAAAGGTAGCGGGTACCTTTGGGTTATTTTTTGATAAGACAATGAAGAAAGAGAGTCATGAATTGTAATTGAAGATATAAAAGCCATTGCCATTTCCCAAACAGAAATCTTCAATTCAAACAATTGAAATTATTTTCGTTTATCCCAACTCTTTATCAATACAACATTTAGCGTGATTGTCAACTTCTTTATACTGGAAAAGTATGGCCTACTTTTACACCCAAAAAATCTAAAACAATTTTCCCGCAAGAAAATTGGCGTGAAAAGCATCTTCCTTCGTAGCAAAGTATACTGGCATTTTCCCCACAAGAATAATGCTATAGAGTACAATATAGTAATGGCACCAATGTAGTGCCACTGCATCAATTCTCCAATTCAATCAAATGTTTGAAAGAAAGGTATAAATACAAAAGCGGTGAAAGAAAGTTACCTCTTGCCTCCTATATTTTTGATGACATTAGCGTCAAATGCAGGAGCAACACGATTTAATGGGAAAACTGCATAAGATAATGACTAATTTACGAACCTGCACAGGGATGGAAAATAAAAATGAAAAAAGGGTGGCAAACACTTAAGCTCTAAATGCATCGAGTACTTAGCATCCTTAGCATATAAAGAAAGAAACCAAAATCTTTTTGTAACATATTATCAACAAAATATTTACATACCTGACATAATATTGTGAGCTTTGTAGATGAGAAATTGTGTGAAGAAGGAGCTGGTTGGTTAACAATAGCAAGAGAATTGAAATGTAAAAGTTCTTCAAATTCAGAGGGGGAGATCTTATTACCATCCGCAAGCACAATTATAAGTTTTTAGTTTCTCCACTGGGAAAGAAGCAAGGGATGCACCAATTCCTATAAATAAAAAAGATAGATTTTTAATGTTATTCAATTAGGTCACACAATGAAAGCGAAACATCAAGTTTGTTCTGCATCAACCTTTGTAAGTAACGGATTAAAAAGAAGCAAACATTAGCAACCACAATAACACAGATGAAAATAAAATTTTCAGAATAAACAAAACAAAGATCAATATATCTATTGACCTCAAATCTTACCTTTTGAATGCTTGTTCTGCCATGGAAACTATCCCACCTGAATCGGATTTTGGGAAATCAACTACAATGGCATATTCAATTTTCTCCTTTCAATTGCCGGAACCCAAAGATATATCCCTCCACAAACATTAAAGCCAAACCCTAACCTAATCGTGAAAACCCAACTCAGTAATTTTCATTCGCAAATTGAGGAAATGAGAACTCATATGCTTAAAATTCATCTGCCCGGTCGAGTTGCAAAACATACTCATCAATTAATAAACATGTATAGATATGAGAGAAGGGTTACGGTTGATTTGAAGAAGAGAATAGAGTATGAAAGATATAGAATGGTGGGCTGAAGTTTTTGTCAATAAACTGGATCAATAACTTCCACAGAAAATTGCAGGACAAAAGCTGAATCTATAACTTCAGCCAGAGTTCCGAGTTAGGTTTTGATGGCCACTTGGAAGAGGATCGTGGAATATTTTATTTCTCCCTTTCTTCCTATTTCTATGGAGTCCATTTTTTTGAATAGATGATCGTGGATGAAGAAACGTGGGAGTCCAAAAAATGTGGGAGTTGTAGTGTGAATAGATATGCCCAAACGTGGGTCTCATGATCACGTGAATAACTGGCAAAATTAATGTTTTAAAAGTTTCAAATTATTATTTTTTATTTTATAATTTTTTTGAATCTCCAAACTTATTGGAGTTTTGTCTTAAAACTTGATACGTGTCAATATTTTGTTTTGACACTTGGCACAATATTATGAATTTGCCTCTCCTTTTCTATATTAATAGATTTTATATCTATATCTATACTATATTAAAAGCACAAAGGCCCTTAGCGAAATATCGTTCGCCCTTTTTACCCTTTTAAGATAGAGTTCATACTAGACAAATTGATCTTTTTATTATTTTCCTATTATTTAGGAATAGTCATTAATTTTTTCCCTAATGTTTAAAAATAATTATTTAATTATTTCCCTAATATTTAGGACTTTAGTTTTCAATTCCTTCCAATTCTAGAATTGAATACTTTCAACAACAATTAAATTTAGGAATATTAAATAAGCACTTTCAATTTCAAATGGGATAGTTTCGACAACTTTCAAATTAGGAGTATTTTTTCTTTCTTTTTCTTCTAACTTTGTAGACCGCTTGCCTTTTATTTTATTAGAATACATTTGAGGTTAGTACTAAATCTTTTCAAAGACATAATTTTAGGAGTACAAATTATCTCACTGAGTAATATTAAAGAATTTACCATTTTATACATGAAAATAAAATACTAAAAAATAAAATAAGGTTAGAATTCGCTGAAAATCGTTTATATATGTTTATGACAGTAGAAAATAAATACAACAAAATAAGTAATCATAAATTAAAAAAAAAAAGCAAAATGTTTTTACAAATTTTGTAATGAAAAGTTAAACAATTTAAATATATCTTTGAATCAAATTAGACATAATTTTTAAAAGTCTTTATTTAAATGAGAAATTATAATAGACACACAAGAAAGTTAAAACACAACAAATGTAAGAATTGATGACAAGAATAAATTCTAATTTTGATCAACTTGAATTTCATATTCTAAATCCTTCCAAGATAGTATGAACGTAGCCCTTTCATAATAGGGATTTTTTTCTTCCTATACCATATATGAAACCTTATTACCAAAAATATGCATAATTTGTTAATTACCCGCCCAGTCCATACTTTAACTACAATTTATATACCAATCCATAATTAGGCAGATTCTGCCATTTAAAATGCGCGAAAAAAGGCACAAAATCTGCGTTTGATTCTTTCCACATTAAATTCGAAATTTGAAACGGAAAGAGATCTGATTGCTGCGTAATTCTCTCTTTCACTACAATTCAAAAACAACGCAGAGCTTCAGAAGCTTCAATAACGCAATGCAAATTGTAGAATTCAAAATTGTTCTTCATCGTCCTCAGTACTCAAATTGTCGAACCTATATCTGTTCTTCATCTTTTTTCTCTCAACTACACGAAATCATGTCAAAAATCCAAATAATGCTAAAATTGAATGGGAATTGGGATAACTATGGCAGATTTAGAGATTTTGAAGTTGATGCCACTGTGCTAGATGAGAATGCAGGTTTGTGTAGTTCGAAAATGCTTAGAATTTTAGTTTTATGATATTATCTACAAATTTACTACATATCTACAATTTGACTACAAGTTCTTTGTTTGGTGCAGGAAAAAATATTGTAATATACAATGTCTCCAGATTGTAGACAAATTATAGGCAAATTGTAGTTTATAGTTAATTTGTAGATAAATTGTAGATAAAATGTAGATATATTGTAGATACTATATTTTTAATAATGTAAATTTTTTTTCTTTGTGTTTGTTCTGAAAATGTAGGTGAGGGCTTCTGATGATAGGCTATAATTGCATATTTTAGTCGCTTATTACACTCGAATTTACTGTACTTTAATTGAGTTTGCGCTTTAATCGCTAGTGTTTTGCACTAATTGTGTGTTTTATGCCTTGTAGGTGCGATTCCGAGCTATATAGATGTTATGGAATGAATTTAAGCGATTTGAAGCTTTGAAGTCTGAGTAAAAGCTCAAGGAATTAAGCCGGGATCGTGTTCGGAGGTCAAATTTGATAATTAAGTACGAACGAAGACTTGAGGAGGCATATTGCGCACTGTCTAGTAAAATAGACATAACTTATTTCTCAGAACTCCATTTTGGCTCCACAATATATGGTTGGAAAGCTAACTCAAAGGCTACAACTTTTATATTTTATGTTTTTTTAAATTCCAAATGGAACAGGGTAAAAACCGCGGTTTTGCCGCGACCGCGGCACAACCACCGTAGAAGATGGTCGCGGACAACTGAAGAATCAGAGGGCATGTTTGGCCGCGGTTTGACCGCGACCGCGGTGTGACCGCGGCAGGAAGCGAAAATTTCAGGGACTAAAGTGCAAAACATGGGATTTTAAGTCCTAAACCCTATATTAAACAAAGGAGGCCGGCCAAGAACAAGAGGAGGACATATTTTGGACACAAATTAGACCTAAGGAGGCAGGAGACACTACTTTAGGGTTAGACAACACCCTTGGAGGCAAGAACACATTGGGAGCAAGGCGGAGAATTCTTGTTTTTCCTTCCTCTTCCTATTTTTCATTGTTGGTTATGACTTTTAGTATTATGAATAGCTAATTTGTTATCTAGAGTTTTGATAGAACCTTTTGTAGGATAAATTCTTGTTATATTTTTATATAATTGAGCCATAGCTTTTCTCTATTTGTTCAACTACGTTTATATTGTGGTTGGTTGAAGAGCTCTCAATTAGCTGTGCCTATTTAGTATGCATAACTCAGGAGAGAGTGCATATTTAGGTAATTGTTGAACAACACCACTCCCAGAGTATATGAGGGATCAATAACCGAGGGTTTAAAGGTGTTATTAGGGATAACGAAGCCTTGGGTGCGATCTGAAGTGAGCTGTATTAAAAGCCAGCTAGTGTAGCTGGGGAGAGTGCGTCTAGTAAATTGTCGTAATTACTCGGGAGAGATTTACGGTAATAAGAGTGCTCATGATCGGTAGAGAATACTTAGGCGAAATTATAGAAGACATAGCGGGAAGGATTCTGACAATAGGGGAAATCATAGCTCTAGACCTCCTTAATCTTTTCTCTAACCCTCAGTATCGTTAGTTGTTAATTTACTATTTTAATTTGTTAGTTAAGTAGTTAGACACAAGAATCTTAATATCTATAAGTTAGGAATTGTTCAAGCTTGTCTTCTTGGTGATAGTGAACAGCTGTAGCTAAACCTTAGTTCTCTGTGGGATTCGACTCCGGACTTGTAAACCGGATTATATTTGCAGCGACAGCATTGTCCTTTTTATAAGGCATAGTTGGGCGTGATCAAATTTTGGAGCCGTTGCCTGGGAACTAATGGTGTAGTTGTAGCTGTATATATTGCTAGGGTTCAAGTTTGAACTTTTATTTTGTTTTGTTTTTTCTTGGTATTTTTTTTATAACCGTTGATTTGAGAAACATGACATCTTGGAATTATGAAAATTTAGGTGTAGATAATTCTACTATTGATCTCCATACATGTTGTAAAGGAAATCACCCGTGACAAAATTTTCAAAACGTTCCTGAGAGCGAGTTATGTGCACCAACTCAATCTTATTTGTGGAATGTGTGTGGTGGTAAAAATGGTCACCTTCATGGTTGTGCTTATATTTCTTATTTTCCCCCAACCCCTTACTATGATGGTTCCACCTTTTCTTGTGAAGTTAATAGGAACAAAGAACCTGGGAATGCGGACCTGAAGGAGATCAAGGATATGCTAAAGTGTCTTCTGGAACAAAACAATGAGAAACAATTGCACATAGAAAGGCAAGAGGCAACTATTCGCAAGTTGGAGGCTCAATTGAGTCAAGTGGTTGGAGCTTTTAATGCTCAACAATCCAATATTGATGATAGTAGCCAAGAAGAGCATGAATTTGAGGTATTAATTGGGGAGGTCAAAGCAGAACATCAACAACCTAGCCAACTAGAATTTGAAGATGTCAATGTTGAAGAAGTGAGACTAGAGTCAGCCAAGGACATTGAGGATACAAATTTTGTTGACTCTAGTATCGTTGATGTTGAGGATGCTGAAAGTCCTGAAGTTCATGTGTGTGAGTGCATTGGTCCTCACTCCAAACATTTTTCTACATTGTGCTTGGATGACGATATGAAAATAGAGTCATCCGAGCCGATTGAGAAGTCAAGGAATGAAGAACAAGGTGCCTATATTCTGGAATTTTTCTTACCAGAAAGACAGGACTACATACCTCATCTAAAAGCCAAGAAGTGTAGAATAGTACAATGGTTGCTTGGACCAATTAGATTTGTTCCTCCACCCCTGGAGCATAGCCGAAAACTTGATGCCAAATTGGGGGTTCAATTTATAAGCTCGAGGTGGAGGCAAAAAGTGATTCGCGTCGTGCCGCGATGTTGATGCATCAGCAAACCAAATGGTTGGAACTAAGTGTGAGGTACCCACACGAAGGACCAAGCTTGGGAGAAGTCTGAGTACCCCATGAACTGCTACTGCTTCGGCCTTTGGCCTACCAGGGAGTTTCTTTTACCCTCTTGTATGTATGGGTGTGCATTGGGGACAATGCACAATTTTAAGTGTGGGGTGAGGAGATTGTCTGGGTGATTTTTCATGCTACTTTAGCTGTGTTTTTTTAAAAAAAAAAGATTGGACTTTTCCTGATGACGTATCTTCTAGACAGTTTTCTTGAGGGAAGTAAGTCTAAAGAAAATACCAAATTTTTTTTTGTTTTGTTAGGTAGTGTAGCAATTACCCCTTGATTTTTCTTTAAACCACGGTTCTTTTCCA